GAGGATGGCACGTGGGACATACTTGTTACCTGTGAGAGGAACCAGCACCAGTGTTACAGCCATGTAGTAAGCAGCCAGTGTCACAGCAGCCCTGCTGCGCTCCCATCTGCTGCTGTGGACATCGAGGGTGTGGGAATTTGGAGGGAGGTAGCTGGGGATGGGAAGACAAAGCAGTCATTTAAGCTGTGCAGGGGCATCACCCACTGCAGGGATGGCTGGGAAACCCCTCTCAGCACACCCTATGCCCCCTCCCCCGGGAAGCTCATTACAGAGGGGCGTTACCGGTGGCTTCATTGTAGTAGACATTGATCCTCTCCAGTTGCAGGTCGCTGTCCCCGTGGTAGCTGCCCGTGGGGTCGATGCCGTGCTCATCGCTGATGACCTCCCAGAACTGAGGGAACCGGAATGAATGGGCGTGAGGATGGTCAGCGCTGCCACGCCTCGCTCTCGCCCCCTGGCCAAATCCCCGCCACGTGGCAGCCAGGGATTCGCCACGCGTGGGTGCGGCCCCCCGGCCAGACGGAGCCACCACCGCGCCCCTCACACCCCCCGCCACCGACGGGAGGGGTGTGGCACCGGCTTGGCGCCCCCTTTCCCCGCCCGCCCCGGAGCCCTGCAGCCCGCCAGGGGCTGACGGATGGCAGCTGATGCCCCCGCACCCCCTTAACCAGGGCGCGCCACACCCTCGGCGCGGAAACCCCACCGCGCTCCCTCCGCCCAGATGCAACAGCCGGGAGCTGCCCCGCGCAGACCTTCCCGTGGAGAGCCGATCCCGACGGTACTCCGCTGCGGAAAGGAGGCTCTCCCGGCAGCGGGTCCCTCCGGTACACGCGGAGCGCGGCTAAGCGGGCACCGCCCCGCGCCCCGGGCAAGACGAGTGGGGCGCCAGCCCCGTACCTTGGCGCCGATCTGGTTGCCGCACTGCCCGGCTTGGATGTGCACGATCTCACGCATGGTACCGGTATCCGAAGGTGCCGCCCCGCTGCTCCTGCCGCCTTCACCTCCCTCTCCACCCGCTCCCGCTCTCGCTGCTGCGGCGGCCGCGCCCCGAGAGCCCCTTAAATGGGGACCCGCGCCCCGCCCCGCCACTGACGTCATGCGAGAGAGGCGCGCAGCCAATGGGCGGGCGGGGGCGGGGCCGAGCCGCGGCATTGTGTGCCGTGAGGGGGCGTGTCCCGGCGGGGGAGGGCGTGGTCTGAGGGCGTGGCTAAGGGCACCGCCCCGTCGCCGCGGTGCCGCTGACAGCGGGGACAAAGGCGTGGAGCGGCCGGACCGAGCCGGCCACGTGCGAACCGCGACACTTCCCTGCGCCCGCCGGCCCGCCCTCCCGCGGCCGCCGCCGCAGCCTTTTGTTCCCCGAGACGCGCAGCCTCCCCCGCCGCAGCAGCGGGCGTTGCCGTCGGGGGGGACCTGGCGGCTGCCCCCGTCCCGCCGCCGATGCCTCCGTTCACACGGTGCCGGCGGGAGACTCCCTTCCCCTCCTCGCGGGGGCACCGCGCCCCCGCCGGCATCTCCGTGGTTGCCGCCCCTCCGCCTGCACCAGCCCGCACTGGCGGTGGGGAGTCCCGCGCCCTGACCCGGTTCATCTGCCCCCTGCACAACACGAGAGGGGGTTCCCCCCTCTGCATAACCTCTCATCCGTCAGCCCTGCCCCCGAGCGATCCCCTCCTTCCTCTGCCCCGGTGCCGAGCTCGTCTTCCCTCTCTACGCCTGAAAAGGTCGGGTTTAGTCCCCACAGCTGAGCCAGGAGCCACTCTCCAGCCAAGGGACCCGCTCCGCGCTGTCTCCCGTCCGGCCGCAGCCACCAGCGACCCGCAGCCAGACAATAGACGGCGCAGGTCTATTGCTGCACAGGGCCGAGGGGCTTCAGGGAGGTGGTTCCCTTAGCTCTGCAGCAAGAGAGTCTTGATCTTCGTCGCTTCATTGCGGATTCCCAGATGCTGAGGGATGAAGAAAGGAAAGAGGGGGGCAGGGGAGAGTTGAACATTTGCTCCCCAGAGATGCGTCCCGTCGTTCATTTTCGAGCAGCCCAGTACGGCATCGTGGGCATTACAGCGGCGGCAGGGAGGGCAGGCGGGGGCCGAAGAGGAGGGCAGGGCATGGCACATGCCTACGCCGCTGGAGGAGGAGGTCGGGGGGAGGAATAGCACGGCAGAGCGGCACGGTTCCCGCCGTCTCCGGTGCCCTTCGGGGCGGTCATTGCGGTGTGTCGGCTCCTCCCCGGCATCGCCTGTTTCTCACCGCGGTCTGGGTTTGCGTGTGCAGCGGCGGAGGGTGCGGCCCCCCCAGACGCTGCCTCGGCTAGTCCAGGCTAGCCCAGGAGGGCTCCCCGCAGCCAGCGCCCGGCGGGACTCCACTAAACCCCGTTTTAATGACCCGCTAGATGAAGGCTACTTCATTTATTCTATAGTTCAGGTATTCTAGAGGTGCAGATAAAAGTACATCACCATTTCCGACCCATATTTCTTCAATATACTCTCTTCTTTGTTCTATCCACGTGCGGATGTCCCTAATCTTTCTAACGTGGTTTATGCAGATCGATAACCCCGCCTATGGATCACTCCAGATCGGGTCTTACATTTTTCCAAGGCAATCTGCAGCACAGCCTGACGTCCTCTGATTGATATACCAAAGCATCCACACCTTTCTTTTGTTCGCTTTACGGTGAGAAGGCATCCCATCTCAAAAAGCATGCTAGAAAAATACACTCTCACGTTTATCTCTTCAGTGGTGATTTTGAGAAAGATAAATCTGATCACTTGCACTTCTTGTGAAATCTGTTTTAACCGGCCTAAGCCAGGAGCAATTTAATTATTTGGTTGACTACGCTTTGCAAACAATGTGTAGCTGTAATTCCAGGCGAACATTTTGTTGTGGCATGCTAACTGCATAATCAACATCCACATCTATAATTACTTGTTCAAAAATAGCCTGTAGATTAACAACTCCAGGGGACCACTGACCGCCTCAGGTAATCATTCAAAGTAATGCCAGTCTTTCCCATGGCTGCGGTGGGTGTGCTCCTGAAAACACTGTCACAGCAAAACTCAGTTACAGCTGGTGCAAAATACAAGTATTGTAACTGCTTGCTACTATTATTTTCAAGTATTCTGTGTGTTGCACACTGCATATTAGTTTTTTACTAAGGAATTATTGACATTTCAGCGTGAAGGGGAGAAGCTGATTTTACACATCCTCCATACCTACGTTAAGCTCATTCGTAACAGCTTGAGACTTCAGAGGAAGCCATTTTAAAATCCAATTCAAGGAAAACAGATTATTCACAGGGGAGAAAAGAAACCCACCCTAACTGCTTTATCTTAAAATAAACTAACCCATATATTTGAAGCGAGGGGGGATTCAAGTATATCTTCTGTATAGAACTTCTTGAGACTGTAAGGGAAAAAAACCCCAAAACCACATGGAATATTTATTTCTAAAATAACATCTGCTTTTCAGAGGGATGAGGGAGGAAATCCAGGTCTAGGTTTTCTGCAGCCCCTAGACCAGGCTCCTTAGAGGTGAACAGCAGCCGTTCGAATCACTTCAGGAGACTTCAGACAAGATCCAGCTTAATTCGAAGGTAAGTGTTTGGGATTGAGGGTTTCCCAAAGGTTCGGCGTACGTTGTTGGAAATTACTTTGCAGGGAAATGAAGTGTTCAGCTGTTAGCTGCCCGTGCCCCTCTACCCCCTCTCTGTATCCGCCTCACACTGATGTGTCTGTCAGCGCAGCCCCTGCCCCAACCCCGGGGCCGGCCCTGGCTGGGCTCCTCCATCCCCATCTCCCCGGCAACCGGCCTCCCCGGCAGAAACGAGCTGCACAAAAAAAGAAAGGAACAAAAAAAGCCTGCAACGTTTTCACTCGCCAGGCTGATTTCCCAGAGTGTAAAAGCACTGCGGGTAGGAGACTGTGGAAATGGCGGCAGGGCGGGTGAAATGCCAGTTCACATGGTTGTTCACAGCCATTCTCGATGGACCTAAGAGAGGACGAATAACATGACCGCATAGAAGAATTTGTTTAAAGAAGCTCAGAGGATCAGAATAGTTTTATCTAATGTGTCCTCTCCCCACTCCCTTTGGTGGTTCCCATCCTCCCATCTGCAAGGTTGGGCGTGACAGAGCCTCTGTCTTAAGCTATTGAAGTGGTCACTGATGAAAGAAACTCCTGACTTCCTTGCTAGATGCAGAAGGTTGCAAAAGCCAGCTAACAAAAGCCCAAGGGAAGGACTTACTCATTTTACTTTATAATAGAAAACATGTGCATTCGTGGGATGTACTGCAGCACTGACTTTTGTGGGTCATTGAAAGGTTTTTCCTAAAAAGAAACTTGCTCTTCGTTTGAGAAAACAAGCACCCATCCCATAGCTCAGCATCCCATTTCACGGGGATCCCATTCCTTGTCTGTGGTTCCTCTCAGAAGGATGGAAATATCTTACAAAACTTGAAGTTATGCCCAAACCGTCAGGAGCACCATCTAGGTTTTCTGTATCTTGAGGAGCAGGATGCTGCAGTATATAAAAATAAGAAAGAATTTTGGATTCTCATAAATTGAGGGCTTATACCACATGCCAGGCTGGACATCTAGGGTGGCTCATTAGGTCACTTATGGCAAACCAATATTTCACTTCTCAGCATGCATCACTGTAACTTAGCAGACAATCAAGAAGGCATGGACTGGGAGGAGCCTGGGTACATTTAGAGGAAGTCAGGGTGGTGCAGATTAAGTGGGAACATTTTGCTAACAAAATTTTTTTGGGGTATCTCCCTTCCCATATGTATTTGTTGTTTTGCATATGGGTTGCTTTCAGGCCATGCCAGTGGCTGGACCCACCTGTGGCAGCTGGTGGGAAAGGACAAGACCGGTAGTAGCCATGGCTGTGTACTATGATCCCCATTAACCTTGCCCCCAACAAAAAATCCTGAATATAACACAGCCCAACTGCACAGCCTAAACCCAGGCTCCTGAGAAAACTGCTAAGCTATGGGAAAACCAGCAGCACAGCACCCAACCTAATAAGAATAGATACAAATACAGGCAGAGAGAAGATTATAGGAACATGATCATCAGTAGCTCAAGGATAGGAGAGAATCAACACCAGCATGGAAAACTCTGAGATCCTAAAGGAAGAAAACAGGGAGGTGATAGAAAACTGCATCAACGCTGAGCATGCATTCATGGAAGAAGCAAAGGCCAGCCCTCCTCCCTCTGTCTGCACCTACCTGGTCTGTCTCTACCCATCAGTGCAACACTTAAACCCCAGAGTTCACCAAAGCCAAGCTATCTTCAGACCACTGTACCCAGGATTGACAACAGTGTGTGCCCAATGACACATGTGCAGGGTGACCCAGGACTGGACAGTGAGGGATGGCCACACTGTCAGTGGTGGTCCCACACCATCCTGTCTGCTGGGTTGGCCACCCAAAAAGCCATAGTGTGTGAGACCTGAGCTGTGGTGCTGTATCTGCAGCCCCCATGCCCTCCTGAGCAGCACCCCAGGACAGCAAGGTCACCCGTACAGTGCTCTCATATTTGCCAGTGGGCCCCAGGGCCAGGGCTGCTGCCCTGTAGACCCTGTCAGTGCTGCCCATCCTGGGGGATCCTTGGCCTCAGCAGGGGTAAAGCCAGGGTCTGCTGGTGCGGCTGTCTGGGATTGCTACACATCCTCCCTCTCTTTTACTGCTGCTACAAGCCATTTTTTCTAGCAAATAGCTAAAAATATGCGACTGTCTCATTTTTGCTGAGTGCACCTGCCTGCTCACCAGTTCCTCTTTACTAGACAACATAAGGATTACTTTCATGAAACAAAAGATGGAGCAAGGCTGTCAGCCACAACTCCACTCGGCACTCTCAGAAAGGAAACCCCCCAGCCTCAGACTGAGGACTCTCACTGCAGCACCTTGTCAGTAAAAATTACAGCAGTAAGAAGTCCCAAAGGAGGCTCTGAAGGACACCCTGGCACCACACGACACCTTTCATGTGCATAGTGCCATGAGTTGTATACTTGGTCTCCCCGGGCACATGCTGGACCTGTGAC